TCTGAAATTGAGCAACTAACAAAATCAAATTAACCCTGGAGTAAATAAAGTATTCAGAGTATCTCAAAAATGTAATACAGGTTGCTGCACTTGTATTAAAGGAACAGTTTCGTAACTAACGTAATTCGTTATGACTAAAAGTTATCTTTTAATTGTTTGTTAAAAGTTTTGTAACTATTCCGTTTCATAATCATTGTGGACATACACTAACCAACTTTCTTGCAGAGAGTTAAGATTCTATCTCATGATACCTTAATTACAAAAGGCGCGTTCACACCGCAGTACTTTTCCCACAAAGGTTCATGAGAACTCTTTAGTTCTCATGAACTAAAGAACAGATTGCGTTCACACCGGAATAAGTTCCCTGGGGGAGGATTAGGCAAATGAAGCCGCTGACGTCACTTCTTCTTCTTCTGCTTTGGGTTTACTGGCAGGCCATAAACCACTTCACAGCGTATACTGCCACCCGAAGTCGCCGGCCGGAAGTCCCCGGAGTTGGGGACTGGCTTCAGTAGAAACTGCTGGGACTCCCAGCAGCTTCTACTGAAGCCTTCCGAGTAAATCGCCAGAACGCCGACACCTCCTCATCTCCACCGCTCCCATGTTTTCTTTTGTGTTGCTGTAAGTTAGTCTCTCTGCGTTTGTGCGCTGGACTAATGCTAATGCTAATAATGCTAATGCAAGGATAATATAAAGGCGGCTTCACAAAACTTTTCTGAGTTTTACGGGGCGTGGTTTGCAATCCGCCCAGCCAATCAGACATAGGAACCTTTTTCTCCCACGAAAGTCCCTGCTCTCTAGCAGGGACGGGAAAGGGAGTGAAAAGGTTCTCATGAACTTTAGTTCCGAATTGTTTTGGTGTGAACGCGACATTTCAGAACTATATCGGAACTAAAGTGGGAAAAGTACTGCGGTGTGAACGCGCCTAAAGCTATATTCAGCACCTATAAAACCACAATGCATAGGTTTTATGCTTTGATTTATGTACTATTTATTTGTATTTTTGGCGAGCATTTTGTTGCTTTTGAACAGAATACCTAATAGCCTTTGTCCCCTGTGTGCAGTCCCTGTGCTAAGATAATCTATCTTTTACAAATACCTCTTGGCAAGAAAGTGAATAAGCATATTTGTCCCGTGATTCTGAAAAAGAACGAAACAAATTGAGTTGTTTTTAAAAACATTTGGGATTCACTTATGTGCAAAGAAAATGATTCCTTGTTCCAGAGCTGGTTTGAACTGTCACTAGGAAACGCATTGCAAAAAAAAGGAATAAATATAGTATACGAAATCTTGTCAGAAAACACTTGCAGTAATAATAATAATAACTTTAATTTATATAGCGCCTTTCATCAACCCAAAGTCGCTTAACAAAGAAACATATAAGGACAAGACATAAAACAGGTGGCAGAAATGGAAGTGTTACAGTACTCTTTTTTTTAAAGTGTTTGACCTTTCCCTCTCCAGACTCGGAGGATCTGGATCCAGATCTGTCCAGGTTGGCGTCTCTGGGTTTCTCCGGCTGTCTCTCGGTGGTCCGCTTTAACTCCATCAGCCCTCTGAAAGCTGCTCTGCTGCACCCGGACAGCAGCCCCGTCACCATCTCCGGACCTTTACTGCAGTCCAGCTGCGGCTCCTCGGCTGCAGCCAATCCCTACGCAGCAGAGAACACACACCACCTGTCAGGTAGGAGAGGACCACATGGTTAGCCTGGTTTAGTTTTACTGGACTGACACGTGCAGGATTGTTGCATTCATTCAGTGTACTATTTGTTGTTTTCAAGTTTGGCTTCCATTAGTGCAATTGAGAAAGAGATAAAAAAGGTTTTTATTGTCAGTTTACATTTAAATATATAATATAGATTGCTTATTATTACAAGTCTCCTGAATTACATACACTTTAAAACCATTGACATGCCTCTAGGAGAAAAGTAGGGTTCAGTAACTTGCCCAAGGACACTTTGACATTTTGCCGTGGGTAGAGATCGAACCTCCAGCTGTTATGAAGCACAATTAGAAGTCATTTGGAGACATGTTTCAGTCCATAATAATATCCTGTAACTTTTATTCTTGGCCTCTTCCAACTCCCCGAAGGAGAAATCGCTGCTCAGCTGCTGATTGCCCCACTGTTTATCTGCTGAGTCACTGCAACTCGGAGGAAAAGTTTACTTTAATACACAACAGGGGCTCAACAGTGACCTTTTTCTCATTGCAAAACTGAATTGGGCAACGGCTGTGAAGTTGGTTGATCCAAAAAAAATTCCACATAATGAATGCAAGAATAAAAAGCTGCCTAGTCACATGTTCCCTCGAGTCACCTGACTCACAGCAAATAGATTAAAACACAAAGGATATTTCTTATTATTTTAAAGGTCACTGCTCTTGTCTTTTCCCAAAAGCCCAATCATTAATTGCTGACTTTCTTTCAGCATCGACAGGAGGCTGAAAGTTGGCATGGAGGACGACTGATGTGTGTGTGCTTGAATTCATGAATGTGTCACATGAGACGATATGATGCAATGTTGTCGGAACAATCTGACATTTTTCTTGCATCACAGCAGCTCCATTTGTGACATCAACAAGGGCAAATACCAAAAAACTAAAACAAGGAAACAGAGTTTTAACATAACATAATTTGAAAGACTCAGCATTCAGAGGATTCAATCTAGGACACAGGAGTGTTTCAGTCTAAATGTATAAATCCTGGGACCCTGTGTATGTAATTTGATGGCAACAATTCACATTCGCTGCTCAAGATGGTTTGGGTCAGAGGAAATGTTGTTGGCCAGCTTTCATATGTAGTTATGGCAGGCTGATTCATAGAGTTACTTGTTTGGTGGAGCAGCTTTCACTTAAAAGCGGAGACAAACACTTGTACTATGTATTATTGCAATACTGTAGAACACTTATAATCACAGATGTGAAAAACAATAAGGATTTGTCTACTCGCCCCAAAGGACCTAAGGCGGCGGAGAGAAAATAAAATCGTTGTTTTGTCCTTTTACAGATATATTCAATGTGCTTTTCCCTGATAGCAGATGTTCTATCATTACACCAAAGTACTAGATTTGTTCAGTGTGGATGACAATAGGCACTCAATATGGATGCATACGTTTCTTTAGTCCCAGGTTTTATGAATTTGCACTGGTTTTAACACTATGTTGTAGTAAATGTGTGGTTGTCGGTTGGCTGAAATTAAAAAAACGACTAAATGATGTGTTGAACCGTACCCCTGAAATGATGTTTGCTTACAAATCTGCAAGTGTGCCATTATTTCCCCTTTGTTTGTTTGTGAGCTTATCTTCCCTTGGTAGGAGCTGCTGTTTCTAACTGTGTAATGGCCTCATTAAGTATGCACACGTTGTTGAGGAGACTCATGACAATGTGCCTGATGAGATAATTAATTTTGACACCAGAGGGGAGTTCCCAGTGCCTCTCCTCTGTGTCGTCTTCATGTTGCTTCCATAGAGCTGCTGCTGTTCCTCCTGTCTGCTCTGAAGGACGATTCTGTCTCTAAATGTCTCTCTTTTCTGCTCTTATTTTCCCTCCACATCTTCTTACATTATTTCTGCTTTTCTGTTATTCTTCTCACATCTCCTCTTTTCATTCTTGGTCTCTCATTTTCCTTCCTCAATCTCTCCTTCTGCCTTTCTCTGCCGTAGATCATTCTGGTGTAGTGGCTTCAGGTCAACCTTTAGTCAATGCCATCAGGACTGACTCGGCTCTAATTGGAGGTACTGAACCTGTTTTTGATTGGACTTCTTTTAACTGTGAGAGTCAAAAATTACACTCAATATTGACCCTGCTGAAAGCCTGCAAATGTGACATTATGGGTAAGAAAATCCATCAAAAAGAAAAAAGTTTAGCTAAATATTTCTGGCCAGACAGATTGATTTAAAGCGAAGATTGACTGGTTTCTATAAGCGTGAAAAAAGTCATTTAAAAGTGTCCGTTAAATCTCTGTATTTCTGTGTCTCAGCGCACAAAAGACTAATTAAAGATCCACTGAAAATGACATGCTGATGGAGAAACTTTCACACAGTTATCTCAAAACGCAGTGCGAAATAGAGTTCAGTTTTATTTCAGGACTGCAATTAAATGAAACTTTCTCTGGATAACGAAATGTGCAGAACAGAAGAGTCCAGCTGAGTCCGGAAATATGAAAAACCTGTTCACAGTGTGTGGAAGTCAGATTAGGAGAACAAATCAGACTGCAGGGGGACAGATCTTACAAACCCAGAGGAGGCAGGGATGTGCAGAAATCATCTCTCGGTGGTTTCACAAAAAGCTCTGCGACCAAAGTCCACTGTGATGGATGTATTCCTCAGAAACTCAGCGAGACAGTCAGCGAGACAGTCAGTGAGACAGTCAGAGCGACAGTCAGTGAGACAGTCAGCGAGACAGTCAGCGAGACAGTCAGCGAGACAGTCAGCGAGACAGTCAGCGAGCGAGACAGTCAGCGAGCGAGACAGTCAGCGAGACAGTCAGAGCGACAGTCAGTGAGACAGTCAGCGAGACAGTCAGCGAGACAGTCAGCGAGACAGTCAGCGAGCGAGACAGTCAGCGAGCGAGACAGTCAGCGAGACAATCAGCGAGCGAGACAGTCAGCGAGACAGTCAGCGAGCGAGACAGTCAGCGAGCGAGACAGTCAGCGAGACAGTCAGCGAGACAGTCAGCGAGACAGTCAGCCAGCGAGACAGTCAGCGAGACAGTCAGCGAGACAGTCAGCGAGACAGTCAGCGAGCGAGACAGTCAGCGAGACAGTCAGCGAGACAGTCAGTGAGACAGTCAGAGCGCCACAGTCAGCGAGCGAGACAGTCAGCGAGACAGTCATTCGAGCGAGACAGTCAGCGAGACAGTCAGCGAGCAAGACTGTCAGCGAGACAGTCAGCGAGACAGTCAGCGAGACAGTCAGCGAGCGAGACAGTCAGCGAGACAGTCAGCGAGCGAGACAGTCAGCGAGACAGTCAGCGAGACAGTCAGCGAGCGAGACAGTCAGCGAGACAGTCAGCGAGCGAGACAGTCAGCGAGACAGTCAGCGAGGCAGTCAGTGTGCAGCACGGCTTTCAGAGGATTCAGAGAGAGGAGCACACATCAAAATGTTGGGTTACAATATGGGCTCTACTCAGTCGGTTGCCAGCAAAGTAGTAGTTCACCCGTGTAAAAGTCGGAAAAACACAATGTAAAACTTTAACATAGCAAAAAGGTGCTATAATGGCCCAAAATGCCATTTGGAGAAACGCGCTGCAGTTTCAAAAACACAGCTGAGAGCAGAGTGCTTGTGACATGCGGGGATTATAAAGTTGGCCAAGACTCGCTGTTAATTGAACGTTTTATCGGCTTATTTGAACATTGTGATCACATGATTCCTTCCAATATGACGAGGTTAGCTGAGTTAGCTAGCCTCGATAGCAACAAGCACTCAGGCAAGCCCCCAGGAAGTGCGCCGGACTCTGATGAAAATATTAGTTGTGTCCAAACGGCGGTACTACAACTTCCGTATCAGTCCGTGACGTGGCCCAGAAAGACTTTTTCCCATTGACTAACATTGGGAAAGAAACGTCTGTAAATCAGCGGATAATTTTTTTCAAACTGAATGAACTACCCAGTATTAACTATTGTATAGCCCTTATTAGAATCATTCGGTCCTTAAAGTTGTAAAATGCACTAAAAGCCGAATCTAGATTTATTTTCTGTCTCCATTCATTCTACTGAGCCGAGAGTGGGAGCTCCGGGGGCGGGGCTTAAGGGGCTCATGCTCTGTGAGTGCACATACGGGTTCTTCTCATGGATGTATAATAAGAACTGGATACAGCGTGGGAGGCGGGGCCTCGTTCATTCCTATGAGAGTTGCTCATTGGCGCATGAAGACAAAATGGCCCAATTTTTGAGAGAGCGAAACGTCACGAAAGTATTCATATAATCATATAATCCGTTCTTATTGTGCATCCATGGGTAAAACTCATGTAGTACTGAACACGTCACATGAACGTGCTACATGTGTTTTCTCCTCATGGAAATGTGTTGTGCTGTTATAGCGCGTTCACAGCTGTCCTCCACCGTACATTACAGGAACATTTCCTGCATTCAAAATATACTTGAAGTTAAGGCTGGGCATTATATGGATATTGTGATATAAGACTATAGATCGTAATGTTTTGTATTTTTCTGCTTTTAAAGGCTGAATTACAGTAATGTGATGTACTTTTCGGAAATGTATAGGACTTGTGCAGTTACCCATTTATCACAAAATCTACAGCTGTGATTATTATTTATCTTAATTCTCATTTTGTAAATATTTTCTGAAAGCATTGTTTTGAGACCCTACCACATAAATACATTAAAGCAATAACGATATTGAGGTATTTGGTCAAAATAAATATCGTAATATTTGATTATTTTTCATATTGCCCAGCCCTACTTGAAGTATCAAAAGTAAAATTATTTAAATTGCCTAATGCATATTAATGAGGGGATCCTGTCAGTGTTAGTGTATTATTTTATAATTATTTTTTATTTATCTATATCTAAGCCGTTATTGTAATGTGATCAACAGCGAAGGTGGAGTTCATTTTAAGGCTTTATATAATATCTTTTTAATGAATTAATCATATTTTATGAACTGATAATATGTTTCAGATCTAAACACTTCTTTATTTGTATTTTATATGTTTTAATAACATCTAAATACGTCAGAGTAAATGTCGTCTTCCCTGCAGGGGTCATAGCGGTGGTGATCTTTGTGATTGTGACCGCCCTGGCGATAACGGCCAGATTCCTCTACCGGAGAAAAGAGACGTACCGGAACCAGGAAGTGAAGGGAGTCAAACAGGAAGACAGCCAGGATTTCCATTTCAACAACCAGACGGACCCCCAGAACGTCTCCTCTGAAAACCCAAAGGAGTATTTCATCTGACCGACGGCCTGATGACCCGGGACTCTGCTCTGCACTCAGAGACACTCAGAGACTCCACTGGAAGGCAGGACAAAGGAACAATTCACACAGATGTTTCTCTGTCTGTACATAGTGTAGAGACCGATACACACAGGCAACAGTGCTGGACTTAATATGTGTTGATACTCTTGTAAATATTCAAAAATCTAAATGTGAAAGTGATGTCTAAGGCCAATTCATGTCCTTTCGAAAAGGTTGCACATGATCGTTTATGATTTACAGTATTTAAAGCCAACTTTATTTCAGTGAATCAGGGCATCGTGGCTGATGCACGTTTATATTAGGATAAGAAATGGATGTTAGCTTAATTGGAAATGTTTGACCCGTAATGAGGAAGTTAAGAAGATTGCTTCTGTGGTTTTAATGTCTTTTTGTGGTGCATCGGGAGAGAAATGGCATGCCTGCAGCAGCCTGCAAACATCCACCAAACACCGAGACGTGTTTTGATGATTTTCTATCCCAATTCAGCGACTGAATTAAAAAAGATTTTCCTCCAGCAACATCTTGCTATCACAGATTTTTGGTGTTAACAAGTGGCGCCTTCAAAGTCAAAATGGTACTCTGCAGTCTGGCAGCTACTTGTCGAGAGATTTGAAGACTTTTTAAGCAGGAGGGATTATGTTCCACTTTATGTTGTCACTCTTTTCTCTTTCTCTTAAACTAATTTTATTTCCATTTTAACACCATTTCCCATTGAAAAAACATCATGGAAGAGAGGTACATCCATTATTAATTGTAGTTGTACAGGTTGTTTTAAAGTGTTCTCTTCCTTGCTGTGTGCCGCCTGCTGGGAGCGTCCTCTCCCAGCTCTCTAGATGCCTCTGAAGCTTTTAACGCTGACAGCAGCACAGACTCTAAAGCTCTGTGGCGCTCTGTCACCTCTTTCCCTGCACACAGAGGCAGCTCATGTGTTTCTGAAATGCTAATCTGCTGCGCTCTGACAGCTGGATTGTGACTGGAGACAAAGATACAAAGATAATCCAATAGACAGTGTCAGGCTGAACACGATGAAAACAGCCTGATATTTACACTTGAAAATGGAGCGAACCCCCCCCCCCCCTCCCATGTGTTAATTCAACTCATGTGTAAAGAGAGGAAGAGCAGCTGCTCATCAAACTCACACCTCTCTCTGAGACCCCAAAGCACAGATGGGCTTTTAACGACAGAAGTTGCCCAAACTTCAAAGTGCATTATTCATCTCTTTGTGTTTCTCTTTTGTTCCACCTCACAACAGCTGAGGCCACACATTGTTGTCTTGATCCCAGAGCGTCCTGGTGAGGAAGCAGCGATGTCCTTCCTCCTGCAGCAGCACACTGCACTGCAGCAATTTAGAGAGGAGAGGAAGTCCACAGGTAACCTTGACACTCAGATAATCCTGCAGACTGAGCACACCTGGAGCTCACTGCAACAGAAACACAGCACAAATAAAGAGTTTATTAAGATGCAAGGTGGAAAATGTAGACTTTTAAGACAGAATTAAACAGAGTAAACTTTAGAGTGATGTGTGCAAACAAGAAAATAAACATGTTTCCCCTATAGTCTCACTGAACTATCAAAAGAACTAACAATTTTAAGCACCAAACATTAAATTCACAGTCAGATTTATACATTAAAACCTCCTTATTAGCTCATGTTTTCGGAGCATTTTAGGTTATCATTTTCTAAGATAAAGACACGGTCACACCCCAAAAAATGTGCAGAACAAAATTCCTCCACATGTTTTTCTGAAATATTCTGCTTTGGCGGTTTGGTGACATTAGGACTAATCACGTGACAATTTGGTAAATGACTGTAATTGATAAGCTAAACGCTAACACACTAGCCACCTGCCAGAGCTTCTCTCCATTTTCTATGCATTCTCCGTCATTTCATCCCCTTTTCATTTTGTTCTCCTGATCGTACAACATTTAATAATAATAGTAGTTGACATTGGAAACTGTCATCTAAAAAGCTGTTTTTGTAAATGAACACCTGTCTCATAAGTCTGTAAACCATTTATCTTTGGAGCAGTTTCAGCAAAGGTTAAAACAAACTGGAGGGAAACACAGATAAGAAAGGACAGCTTTTTCCATTTGAGATTCCCCAACTCTCCCTCAGAGCTGCTACTGGTCAGCAAAGCTAACATGTCAAAGTCCATCAAAGTTAACTCTATGCTAATGGGTCATTATTACATGTCACTTGTTAGTCGCTTTTATCCAAAGCGACTTACATACTCAATACTGTGGACAATCCCCACAGGAGCCATTTGGGGTAAAGTGTCTCAGGGACACAACGACATGCTGACTGCAGTGGGGTTTGAACCTGTGCTCCCCTGATCCGAACACCAACGCACTAGCCCACTGCGCCACAGCCTCCCGAAAAACAGTCAACTTCCACAATATTAGTGAATCCTCCAGACCTGGTCATTTGACTGGGGATTCATTCATTTTGCCTTGAATTTTTTGCCATTTCAAATGTTAATGAGTCGATAAGGCTGGTGACATTTCATTACTGTCCTCAAATCCAACAAAAAGATTTAACAATGAATTGTCCATTTCTAACAAATAGTGTCTCTGCGTCCAACACTTGATTCATGTACCTTAAAGTGGACCTATCATGCTATATTTGAATAATATAGCGTAGGACCATACCTATATAAGGCATATTTATACTTTTTATTTTTCAAAATACCAAACAGATCATGCATTTTAGCCATGCCTCATTTTGCTCAATTTGACATTTTTTAGCTCTGTTTTAGCAAGGGCAGATTCTGTGAGAACAGCACCACCTACAGGCCTGGCATATGTACTACAGCGTCTCCAGCGCTTTCGAACGGCAATGGCCGTGGCTGTCTCCTCCTGATTGGTGGAGTTGGCCCAATAGCCGTAGCGCCACCGTCCTGACGTCAGGACAGTGTTCAAATCTGGATCAGTTTTTATCAGATCCGTTGCAGCCCCTTTTTTAGAGATTTGGGTATGGAGGAAAATAGAGAGGGTTGTGTTTTCTGACACTTGGTGAGTTCCCTGGAACACCGGGGACACATATTCATGTATAAAAGACGTACACAAGTGCATTTTGCATGATAGGTCCCCTTTAATTTTCTGTGCCATAAAGCTCAATTATTGTATATAAACTATTTAAAAAAACACGATGTTTCTTTATTGACATGAACGGGCTTCAGTTTGATTTGCATCCTGCTGCTTTACACACAACACGGAGATACATTCATTCCTGAACAGTGTACATCTGTTGGAGTAACGTTTGCTTGAAACAACTGTGATTTTGGGGGAAACAAGTGAGCTTTCTTTTCAATTAGAATATATATGTGTGACCTTCTTTATATCTAAAGTATTTGGGTTCAAGGCAACAAAGAGGGAAGTTTTATTTGGTCTTTTCATGAGATTGTTTGACAGTACGATGGTGTTTTTTCAGTGCTTCCTCTCTCACAGTGCGCTGGTTGACGTGTGTTCAGTTTAACTGTAGTGTTGGTGAATAACAGTGATGTTGTGCCATTTAAATATCCAGATTTCACCCACACTCTGACTGTTTCAACAAAATCCTGTTTGATGAAAATAAATAAATGATGCTTTTCTAAAAGAGCATGTTTTCATTTTATGGAACTTCAGGTTGTTTTGCTTTACAGATGAATCACCAGAGGAATAACACGTTCATTGTGCCTGTGATCCAGCTTGTGTTTACATCGACATGCCAAGGATGGAGAGATGACATGTGCCAGCAGCCCGAGTGAAAAGAAATCCCCCGTGTTTTGTTATTCTTTTCATCCCTTTTTGTTTCTTTGTTAAATGAAGATGACACATATCAACCAGGACAATTTACATACGTTTACGTCTATTATATTTGCTTCTTTCAAATCCACAGTGTGGGAGGATACTCATCCGTCAGCGCTGACATCTCTGATGGCTGCTAACACTCTGCAGAGCACAGATGAGGGAAATATGTAAAGCTGTGAGGCTGCAGGAGCACAGGAAGTGACTCTGTGTGAAAAGACACTTCGCCTTTTCTGCCCGTTTAAACACTCAAGACGCCCCGAGGTGATTCAACGGGTTCCTGTTTGATTCTTTTAAATCTCTGATCAGATGTGAAACTGACATCTTCAGCGCTATCAGAAACTCAGTGAAGAAGGACCAACTAAAGGGGGATATTCAGTCTCATCAGAGTACAGTTAATGCGGTTGATTAGGATGTTAAATGCCACTAAGACTCGCTCCCTTTTAGAAAACTCAAATATATCCTTCTAGGTTAACGCCTGGAAAACCTTTGATGTGCTGAAGCCACACATTTCCTCTGCTTTGGTATTCCTGCAGCTCACAGGATTATATGCAGCTCACTACTTTGTGTTTCCATCTTGAGTCACAGCGTGGTGGAAGCTGCAGTAAACATGACGCTGCACCTTTTAAAACTACATTTAAGTGTTCAAATGTGCAGCCAGGGCTTCTCTCTATTTCATCCTGCTTGACAGTGGCATCTCTTTACTGTCAGAAAAAAAACCTTTTCGCTTTGCGACTATTTTTAAATCCAGAAGTCTTTGTACTGATGTAAATGATTGTAGTTATTTTGGATAGTGTTCTGCTAGAGGAGACGTTTCCATGCAGATATTTATGTTCATCTCTTTTTATCCCATGTGCCAGTAGTGTTTTTAGTGATCAGCTTATGTTTATGCATGCACATTCATATGGTCTGGTTGAGCCACGTTCACCAACTTAGTTTAACATGCTAACATTTGCTAATTAGCGCTACACACATGTTGCACCTGGTCATTGAGCTAGGCAGCAGTTTACTACAGAAGCATTTTTTGTTATTTCTGTTTCAATTCTCTTAAAATCCCGACAGCAATCAATACATCGAATGCTCTGAACAAAAAACTAAAACAAATAGTTGCTTTTGCAGCACTGTAATATCCATTATCCAAATATTTATTATATATTTTTTTTTTCATTCATATATTTATTTATTTAAGGCATGTTTATTTTTTTTGTTTTACTTATACTGTAAAGCAGGGGGGTCAAACTCAATCTCATCTCGGGCCACATCAGCATTATGGTTGCACTCAAAGGGCCGGCTGTAACTTTAAGACTATATATAAATATATATATATAAATATTTAATATAAAATAATGTATTATATTACATTATTGCCTCTGCATTGGATTATTATCGGATCGAGTAATAACTTCACTACGTCTGAAAGCAGAAGTCTAGGGCAAATAATTGCAAGTCTCTTCAGTGAGCATTTGACAAAATAATTTAAAAAGAAAAGCCAAATTCTGGAAAAACAAAAAAAAATAAGTGACATTTTGAAATAAAAAGTCAAATTTTGAAAAAAAAATCTAATTCTGAGAAAAAGTGCATATTTTTGAAGAAATGTCAAATTCTGAGAAAAAAAGTCAAATTTGAGATGCATTGTGGGACATGTAGTTTATGGGCAACGTGCTTCTGTAAAGTAGCATGTAACCGTATAATAAACATATTATATACTTTGCCAGCTCTTGTGGGGCCACAGAAAATGAAGGCGCGGGCCGGATTTGGCCCCCGGGCCTTGAGTTTGACACC